CAGGAGATGCCCTTCCCCACCACCCTGCACTCGAGCTTCACCACCTTGTTTCTTTCCATGCTGGTGAACTTCACGGCTATGAGAGGGTTGCTGTAGTGAGGCTGTGGAAGCATGAAGCAGGAAGTCAGACTCGGCTTTCCAGTGTTGTTTTTCCTTTTAGTCATTGAGCAGTTGAAATCATTCTACACTCGTTCAGCCTCTACACCTGGTTTAGGTATGCAGTTTCAAAAGGTGGCAATGGTGTACGAAGTGTGTAAGGGTCCTGTCTACTGGCCAGTGCGCTGGATCTGTGGCTGGAGGGTTGCCAGTTGGTATCCCGCGGCTGGCAGAGGAATCCTACTCTGTTGAGCCCCTGTGCAAGGCCCTTAACTCCAGGGGCGCTGTATAAATGGCTGACCCTGCGCTCTGACCCCAAGCTTCTCTCCCTGTCTGTGTGTCTCATGGAGAGCAAGCTGGGGTATGTGAAAAGACAAATTCCTAACACATGAAATTGTATATGGCCAATAGAGTGATTTGATCTTATCCCCTGCTCCACTCTACAGAGGAGGTGGTGCTTTGGTGACAGATTATTCCCCAGTGAAATTAACGGGAAATCTTAGTGATGCCACATGGTGTGAATGAAATATGAACAGAACAGTAGGATTAGCAACCTTATTCTTAACTATTTGGCAATAGGTTATAGTAGAGATTATTCATTAATGTTTTACTGTTTAGTTAAAACGAATTGGGTCTTTCAGCTTACCTGAGCTAATTTGCCATAGTAGGGAAAATAGGATAAGTCAAAAGTGCCGTTTGTTGGGAAATACTCCACTCCATCTAGGTTGCTGGGGCTCCCCTCCTGTTAAAGGAATAACAATGCTCTTTGTGATGAATGACAGCTTACTTCAGTTGTATTACTGTTCAGGTGTGTGCAGCAGATGGTTCAGATGCCTTGTTGGGCGGTTAACTTGAAAAGCTCCTGTATTCAATTTTCAATTTTTAAGATTCCTGCAGACATTTTCAACAATTTGTGCACCACTAGGGAAACCTGTGGACGAGGGGTTTTTCTTTTCGAGAAGCACTCAGGGGGTTTTAATGACCCCTGGAGTGTCAGGACCTCGGTTTTATATCTCATCTGAAGGATGGTGCCTTTTTTACAGTATAGTTCCCCATCACTATACTGGGGCATTAGGACCCACACAGACTGCAGGGTGAGCGCCCCCTGCTGGCCCCCACTAACACCTCTCCCAGCAGCAACCTTAGTTTCCCAGGAGGTCTCTCATCCAGGTACTGGCCAGGCTCACACCTGCTGAGCTTATCAGGCTGCCAGTTGTAGGTTGTAGGTTGATATAGCTGCTAATAGGTAATCACTCCAAAGATCTCATCCAGTCATCCAGCCAAAGTATCATCTTCAACGACATGGCTGGGTAACTTGTTCCATTGTCCCAGAAGACTCTGGGTAAAGAAGTGCCTGCTGTTCTCAGTTTTAAATGCACTTCCTATAGTTTCAGTGATTGGAAGCTGGTGTTGGCTAGGATGCACAGTTAAACACAATGGTCCTCCAACTTGTTCAGGTCCAACCAATTACAGATTCACCGGTTACTGTTGAAACCTGAAGCAAGAGGAGGTCTGTAATGCCAACAACACGAAAAAAAAGATATTACAGGTAAGATGAGACATGCTAATTACAACGTTTAAAATGGATGAGGATCATGTGCAGTTTTGATTGTTGCTAATTGTGTCCCTCCTCCTTTTTCTCACATGGTGAGAAAGTCGTGTGGCAAGGATGCAGGATTCTGGATGCATGTGAGCACGTTTTTGTGCACGTCTGTCTTGTCTGCATGGCCTGCGTGCCACCGCAGACGGTCACTAAAAAGTGAAATGAAGCCACAAAAATAAGACCGAGATCAGGTCCAAAGAGCCAGGCAAGGAGAAGACCGGTTAGAGATGTCAACAGCGGCTTTGGAAGATTTGCCAAGTTCTGTGCCTGAGGATGGGAGTTGCTGTTGATATGTTGACAATATCCTGGTCCTCTGGGGCTGAGTGGCAAGAAAGGTACCTTCATTGAATAGGGCTCCATTTTCAGCTCCTGTGAGAAATACCGCATATGTGTGGCAGTAGGATTAATGGCCAGCTGAGATTCAGCACACCCCAGCTGTCAAGCAGGCTGGTTTCTTAATCATGTCAGCAGGGCCTGGGAAGATTGAGGGGCAAATGGATATCCCAAAATACTGGTGAATCCCAAAGAAAGAAAACCTGCTTGAATCCCCCAGGACTACAATACTGGGTTGGAAATTCCCATATTGGTATGATAATGACTTGAAGTACAAGTCTAAAGGCAGCTGTACTGCTCCAACGGGAACAGAGTGGATGTTTCTGAGCGCTCCCATCAAAGTCCTGACACAAATCCAACAGACAGAATACAGTGTGGCTTGGGGATTGCAGTCCATCAACCACTCCCAGTGAACTGGTCAGAACTGGAGCAGTTCAGCCAGAAAAATGAAGAAATACTGACAGCAGTAATTGCTGCCAAAAGTGCCTCTGTCAAGTCCTGACTTGGGACTTGTGCAATCGGCAAATTTCAGTTTGCATATTATATTTGTAGCTATAGCTGATATTTAACCTCCTTCTCATATAAGTGTTCAAGTTGGTCATTACATGAAGTTCAAAACAAATTTGGATAAATTAATTGAAAAGTTGGACACCTTGTAATTGGTCAAACTGTGATATTGGCAGGGGTGAATATACATACAAAGAACTGTGGATGCCTTCAGCTACTGGAGAATGGTATTGAGTGTGACTTGTAAGTGAAGGGTCAATGTCCTGAGTGGTGAGTTGTTCATCACTACTGTCAAAGTCAATTAGGTGTTGCATCCTGGATGTGTTGTGATGAAGTGAATCAGATCCTTGATGTGTTGTGAATTGGAGTTACAAGTGAACAGCCCAAAAATTCTAGGAACCATTTCGTAGCCTGTGCTCAATTACTTGTGATACTTTTTCTTTTTTTTTCTTTCAAATTAGGGGGTTAAATATTTGCCTGAATGATTTTTCAAAGTTTTCTTAACAATGAATCATGTCAACAATACGCCATTGTACAAAAATCATTTTTTTTTTCACTTGAGCGACAGTAGCGACTACTGCAGATCAGAAATGAAATAAATCTCTGGTGCTTTGCTTTTGGAATGTGTTTTCTGTATTCAGTACTTCTCAACAATATTGATCTCATAGTTGTGCACTTACCAGCACAGTGCAGTTGACATAAGGAGCAACTCCTTCGCCAGGCAGAAAATTAATGATCTTGCAATAAAAAAGGAAAATTAAATTATTATTGGCACAAATCAGGAAAGGTTTCATATAAGCATTCCTTCATTTAATCACATTGAAAAGCTTACTCGCAACATGGCGTGTTCTACTTTTTTTCTTTCCCAGATAAATGTAAAAAAGGAAAAAAAATATTTTTCTAGAAATACCTTTCCTTGCACTTATGAGATTAAAACAATTCCTTTTGCGTATGGCAAATACCTTCAGCATCTTTGCAATTGGAGTATTCAGAGTTTCTAGCTGAGCACTTTGGAACTGCTAATGTGACTCTGTAAATGTCTAATCTGGGTTTTGAGTGAAAACGTACCCTGTTCATTTTGATAATGAAGCATGGTTTCCCATCTGGGTACCCAAAAGTAGGATCGGATATTCCGGAGCAATTTCCCAGCATCTCCTGAGTGAAGACACAGGAGGTCTTGGTGTGGTGGGGCCCAAATGTGTCCTGCTTGTTGTACTTGCCTTTCTCACACTGCTTACTTTGATGGTACTGAACAGTCTCGTTATAGGCTACAAAGGAAGAGAACAAGCAATTCATTACATACTTCATTGTCCACACATGACACTGTATTTAGCTGATTGCTTATAGCCTGATATGGAATTTCCTGATTTTCAGTTATCAAGCAGCTGTGAACAGCAGTGAGTTTCACATGATCGTATTTCACCCTATGTTGATTAATACAGAATTTGTCTGAAGTGTCCTGATTTCATGGGCAGTAAATTTATTATATTTTGTAGAAACTTACGTTTCAGAAACTCCTTAAGAATCTCAGCCATTTTCGTCCAGCTGCTCTTGTCAGACATGTTGTAGTAGATCTCCAAGTCCTCATCACCATAGACATCTGGCCAGATCATCACTCCTGAGGACAGGAAAATGAATGGACCAGATTATACATTATGCATGATCCAGAGCAAGTGGCTGGAACACCAGCAATGCAAGGTTTCAGCTTGGTTTTTACATTTTCTTTGTAATCACATCTTCAAGTCAGGTTGCACAAAACAAAACAAATGGAGACTGCCATTTCTGAGAAAGGACAATTGCTCAGTGTATTTTTGCATGAGCAGATGTTGAGCCTAAGGCAATGATGCTCTATATAGAATGTCAATAAGGTACTAGGTTGCTTGTGTAAACGTTAACTTAGACAATAGTAGAAATACATATCACTGAGGCAGACTGGATACACAATTTGAATGCTGAATGAGAATTTCCCTTGAGACGATATTAGAAATTGATTTATTTATCATTTTCCTTAACTAGGACAAAACTTATTTCACGTGATTGGTTTCTGTTCATTGTCAGAAAGGTTTGATATTTCGTGCTATTTTCCAGTCTTGCAGATTGCTTCAGAAATCCTTCTATTAATTGCAAAACCCTTCCAATATATCCCAATAATAAAATAATAAAGTATTTTGACAATTCAAATTCCTTGAGACTATACTATGTAATTCTCTTATTGTATTTCTTAAGTTTGATGTGAATTTAAACTCCAGTGTGTCTGACTTGCATTTCGCAAGATAAAGTTAACATTGGTTGCTTGTAGGATCTGTGCCCCATGTTAAGCAATTATATAGTGCCCTGCCCTTTTTGTTACACTGCAGAACCTGCAAGACTATAACTGTCAGTCGTGACACTGGCACTGAGAATTGTCAGGTATAATGATTTTGTCTGTTCAATCAAAACAGAATTTTGAAGTCTCTCTTTGGAGGTGTTACCCGAGCTGCAAAAATCACTCACTCTGATTTGCCCCAACCTGACTAACATCGTGACACGTTATTATTATTCCTCGTGATGGGTTTGTGCAAACCCCCATGCAGGGAATTCTTGAGGTCTTTGGCTTCCTTACCTGGCGATTTTAACCGGTCCTGATATGTTGGAGTATAGGGATTCATCGTCGACATCATAACGTAGATGGCGAGGGAAAACAGGGCCGTCATCACAATATAGAACGCCACATAGTAAAGGCTAATGTAGACTGCAATGGGAGAAAAGCACTCGTTAGCAATAAAATGCTTGTATCTACCCTTCTGATCCTGTTCCCATGTGATGTTTTTGTGCTATAGCCTAAGTGAGTCTTTGAAATGTTTCCATAATACAAACTAGGAGAGGATGGTTTGATTATATTGTTTGTTCCAAAACTGATTGTCAGAGTTATTGGACGGCAAATGATTAAGCAGGTGGTGAAATGATAATGTGTGTATAACTGCACATTACACAAAACCTCAAGCATTCAACAGTGCACTAATCAAGATGAACCAATGTAGGCTCTCGTTCTCATTTATGATGGTTACTGACCTCTTCTTGTAAATTCAACACCAGCTCAATAAGCAATTATGGAATTTTTGCTGACTCTAAAAACACTTATTATAAATTAGCATCGGTTGTTTTACAGCTGTTTTCCTAAGAGACAGACTTAAGAGCTCACATGTAGCTGTCCTCTGCAGAGGGTGCACAGACGAATTATTCAAAGAATGTCTTGTTGTGTCTTCTGAGATCACATTTGTGGCTAGAGCACCTTCCATGAGTGTGAAGTGTTGCTGCTGTTTTCAACGGCTGTTTTACAAATGGGTTGCTTTTTCTGCGATTTTTAGGTCAGACTTTTAATATATCCACCTTGCAAAAAACAGGAAAGGAACTTAGAAGACAATAGTCCCTTGCAAACTACACTTGAAGAGGCTCTTTTGTTTGAAAAAAATATACTATATATATATACACCAAAGGAACAATAGGAATAAATTGTGCATCTGTGACGCCTGCTTTGCACCAGGTTTCAAATGGTAACTTGTGGGATTCTGTCCCATTCTTCTCAAAGATCTGCACTAGCCTGTGCCTGTTCAGTGGTTTCATCCCAGCTCAGCCCACAGATGTCCAACAGGGCTCTGTTCTGCATGGTACGGCACCCATGACAAAAGTGTATCTTATTCACCTCTTGTAATAAAGCTGCATGAAGATGTGTGATATTCTACTAGAACCTTGTCCAGAAAGGGCAAGACGTGAAATTCCAGGAAAATCCAAGTAGGGCGGTACAGACAGTTTGCCATCTGTAAGTAAAATTTGGATATTGTAGCAAACAGACTCTCCTGGCTGGACTATCACACAGTTTGCATAGACTGGGCTCCATTGTCGACAAGTGCCTATGGAAGGCACTGTTCTCAGGTTCTCTTGATGAACAGGACTTATTGGTTCATTTGTATGTTTTTCTCCCTTGATTTCACACCAGGCTTTGTGTTCAACAGAGTAGATCACCTCAACATCTGAGCCCAATCAAAATCTATTCTTTGTGCTCCTAAGGCATTTGAGCATATCGCAGTCAGTCATTATTGATCAATTGATCAAAAATCAATTGATCAATTGATCAATGATCAATGATCAATTGATCAATGATCAATTGATCAATTGATCAATGCCAAATACATTTAATCCAAAAAAAAAAGTTCCATACATTTTATGCTTTGAATGCATACAGTTTCTTTTGTTACTCGGTAGTGATTTTCAGTTAACTTAATGACTGTATTTAGGTAACTCCAGTGAGTGGGTAAAAAAGGGATTCAATGTAAATATTTTGTTGCAGAAACAGCTTGTGTGGAATCCTCACAGAGACAACTTCGAGTGGTGAAAAGTGAGAGACCGAATTAACTGAGGCTCGACCGATAGTAGTACAACCAGGGCAAACAGAAAATTTCAAGCAGATCCTGGAAACTATCACTTATCTCAGCGTAAACTCCACAATTTGTAAAT